AGAATTCTGTCTACCTTTTCTGCTTGCAGATTTTCCTCTTGTTGATCTATAATTTCTTTTCATTTTCCTTTGCCAAACTTTTTACCTTACTGCAATGTGTAGCCTGATGCTTCATTCTTGCTTTTCTTCATGAGTTAATCTTGAAGACTTCACAGGTACTGTCCCTGCTCCAAATGAGTTTATACAAAATGTTATTTCTGGAAAACTGAAAATCCACTTAAATGGCTTTTAGTAATAGTAAGCTTGTGAACATGGATTGTTTAAGATGTTTCAGTATTTGAAAATGACATTTCATTCTATGCTACTGCTAATCTGTCTTAACTGGTGTTCCCTTCTGCCTAGACTGCCAACTGTTATTGTAATCCAATGGGTTAATTGATGTTCATTAGAAATGACCATAAGGCACATTGAACCCTGATCTATGTTTTATTTCAGCAGACACGGCGTTACATTGTAGCTAATATGCATTTATTATCAAATGAAATACACTATTTTTTCTAAAAATCATTTTTCTTTAAATTTTTAATTAATGCTTAACATATTCAATATGGTTTGTAGATACAATTCCACTAACATAATAATATTCTCTCTTTAACCTCTCATTTTCTCATCCTCTCCCTCTCCCTTTCCTTTCTTCTCCCTTTCTTTTTTAGTTTTGAGATAACATATTTTAAATTTACAGTACAATAAAAAGGCTTAATACATTACTGGAATAAGAAGTTTAACAAGTAAAATGCAAAAAAAAGACCCTAGTTTAGTGGGAATATAGACAATTTTTATAAGCAATAATTGAATGGAAAAATGGTCATTTCACCCTAATACAATAAATCTTATCCCTTGTAATTTATAATATAAATTTAACCTAAAGGGGAAACTTGTTGAAGTGAAATGGACAGTATGAGAAACAGTGACTTGATCAGCTCTTGTCCTGATGGTTGATGTACATTGTAATACTGTATCCATTTTAGTAATTTTTTTGTTCTGGTACCATTGATTGAACTCTGTAATTAACACACAATTATTCTTAGGTGTTTAAATTTAACTGAAAAGTGATCCCTGTTAGGAATTTGGAAAACATTATGCTGAGTGAAATAAACCAATCCTAAAGGGACAAATACCACATGTTCTCCCTGATAGGTGACAACTAACTGAGCACCAAAAAGGAAACCTGTTAAAGTGAAATGAACATTATGAGAAATGGTGACTTGATCAGCCCTCGCCCTGATTGTTGATGAACAACTTAATATGTTATTCCTCTTAGTATTTTTTTGTTTGTTCTACTTAATACTTTTGGTTGAATACTGCAGTCAATACACAATTCTTCTTAAGTGCTGAAACTTAACTGAAAAGTGATCGCTGTTAAATATAAGAGTGGGAATAAGAGAGGGAAGAGATGTGCAATTCGGGACATGCTCAAGCTGACTTACCTCAAACGGTAGAGTTAGAAACATACCAGGGGATTCCAATTCAATCCCATCAAGGTGGCATGTACCAATGCCATCTCACTAGTCCCAGTGATCAAATTGTGTTCACAATTGATCATAATGATAGGACTAAGAACCAAAGGGATCACACAAACAAGACTAGTGTCTGCAAATACTAGCTGATACAATAAAAAAGGGAGAGAACAATCCAACATGGGAAGCGAGATACACAGCAGACCCATAGAATGGCAGATGTCCTAAACAGCACTCTGGCCTCAGAATCAGCCCTTAATGCATGCGGATCCGGCTGAAAAGCCCATGAGAGTATTTCAGGCATGGAAAGCCAAGACACTCTGGCAAAAAAAAAAAAAAAACAAAAAACAAAAAACAAAACAAAACAAAAAAAAAAACACCTAAATGAAAGATCTCCACGAGTGAGATCCCAGTGGAAAGAGCGGGTCTTCAAAGAAGGAGGTACCTTTCTCTGAAGGGAGGAGAGAACTTCCACTTTGACCATGGCCTTGTCTAAATATGATCAGAGTCGGTGAACTCAAAAGGCTTCCATAGCCTTGGCAGCTGATGACAAGAGCCTAGGGTGATTACTGATGCCATAAACAAGAGTGTTAATTTGTTAAGTCAACAACAGGAGTCACTGTGAACTTACTCCTCATGTAGGAGCTCTGTCCTTAGTGTGCTGTACATTGAGATTTAATGCTATAACTAGTACTCAAACAGTATTTTTCACTTTATGTTTCTGTGTGGGAGCAAACTGTTGAAATCTTTACTTAATGTATGCTAAACTGATCTTCTGTATATAAAGAGAATCGAAAATGAATCTTGATGTGAATGGAAGGGGAGAGGGAGTGGGAAAGGGGAGGGTTGTGGGTGGGAGGGACGTTATGGGGGGGAAGCTATTGTAATCCATAAGCTGTACTTTGGAAATTTATATTCATTAAATAAAAGTTTAAAAAAAAACTATAAGACGTGAATACCTTAAAATAAAACAGTAAATAATAAAAATAGTATTCTATATTTGAAGAAATTTAAAAGAGAGATTTTTGAATTCTCTCACCACAAGAAATGATATGCATATAAAGTCATGGATATGCCAAGTACCCTGATTTGGTGACTACATAATGCATACATATATATAAAAAATTTTATAATATAAATTTAACCTATATTTTAACTTAGTCAAATATTTGAGAGGGCAGAACAGTTTATTCCTTGATAGCAACAGGTAATTTCTCCATCATAAGTACTGTTTTACATTATAGGAAAATGCCAGTACTTCTCTATTGATTGTAGATGAAAATTTCAAATGTCAGATTAGTATACAAATTTGGATTTGGGTTTCTTCTTTTCTTCTATTGGTATCCCATGCTTTTCTTTTGTGTTACATATTTTAGTTCTCTTCACAAGAAAATTTACATTTTGGCATAAAAATGCTTAAAAAGTAAAAGAAATTGCATTTTTGTAAGAAATAACCATGCATATCATTAAGTTGCTTTTTTGACTCAAGCTATTAGAGATTCCACAATTTTGAATTAAATTCTTTTGAAATGTGTCTCTGAAATATTGTATAATAAATTCATAATCCTATTTAATTATCTGAATTTTAAAAATATGATAAAAGTTAGATTTTTTTGTGGGATCTTGGTAATATTACATGATTATTCCTTTTATTCTTCCATCTCAATATAAGAGTCTACCCTTTTTTTGCAAAGTAATATATATTCAGAAAAAAATCTTGGGTAAAATTTCTAAATCACTTCAGGATAAATTTATTAGTAAGTTCCAGATATTTTATATGCATTTTGGTTTCTTTTAAAGGTTGTCTGTTTCAATCAATTATTAAATTCCTTTTTTTTTTATTAAAAAAAAGTCTATGTGGGGCTAACATTTTGGTACAATGGTAAAGCTGCTACTTGTGACACCAGCAGTCCATGTTGGAGTGCAAGTTTAAATACTGGCTGCTGCACTTCAATCCAGTACTCAAGCTAGGGTGCCAGGGAAGGCCACAGATGGTGGCTGAAATTCCTGGCTTCTGGCTTCAGTCTGGCTCAGGCCGGGCAGTTGCTGTGGTTTGGGAAGTGAACCAACAGGTGGAAGATCTCTGTCTGTCTGTCTGTCTGTCTCTGTCTTCCTCCCTCCCTTCCTCTTCTTCCTCAGTCACTCTTCCTTTAAAATAAACAAATCTTTAAAAAAATAAATCCTAGAGGAAAAGGACAGACACAGTTGTAAAGGCTTGACACCAGTAATTGATTTTTGAAAAAAGCTACTTCAAAAGAGTATAAATAAAATTAAAAAAAGAAAAATCTTTTGTGTGTTCTAACATTGAATTGAAAAAAAGTTGTGAGAGTTTGGCAAGAAAATTGGAATGAAGCACAGCTCTCCAAGATTTAGCCTCATTGACTCCTATGTATATGATCCTCACAGAAGATATTTCACTTACTCAAGGCCTTAAACTTTATTTTCAGTTTTAAGAATTACTTATTTTAACTAACAGAGTAAGACCTACACAGAATATATATGAGTAGGCTCTAAACAGACACACACACACACACACACACACACACGTATGTACATGGAGTAGGACCTACATACACACACATATATTACACAGAATAGAACCTAGACACATACACACACACACACACACATGAACATTTAAAAAAATGCATTTATTTATTTGAAAGGCAGAGTGACAGGGAGGAAGGAAGGTCAGGAGAGAGGGAGGAAGAGAAATGGCCTCCATCTCCTGGTTCACCCCCCAAAACGACCTCAACAGTCATTGCTGTGTAGGGTTTATGCCAGGAGGCAGGAAACTTGATCACAAACTCTGTAGCCAGGACAGATTAGACATTCCAGTGTGAGATGTGCCATTGCTGGCAATGGCTTAATGTGCTGTGCCACAGTGCCTGCCTCTGAATAACATTTTCTAGATATTTAATATCCTCCATGAAGCTTTTACAGACTTCCTTGGCTGTTCTTTTCAATGCTAACTCCTGATAATTCATTTAAACAACCTTCGCAGTTTTTATTCTTATAACCACTTAGGTGCAGTTGCTAATATTTCATTGATTCTTATCCCATTGTGCTGAATTCATTTGGAAATCTAAAGTACATGTTCCAGTGGTAGAAAAATGATGACCTAATATTCTACATGCAACTTAAAGCTAGAATTACAAATTCAAAAGCATTAGAGTAGTTGAAAAATGTCCTTTCTTAAAAAAAAGGTTTTCTATCTATTCCCTGTTTAGTTAAAAATAAAACATTCAGTGTCCAATGTATATCTTTTAATATGTAATTCAATTTTCAGTTGAGACATGTCATTCAAAAATATACCTCTGAGATGTCAGTTTAAATAATAACACATTTCAGTAAGAATGTATGATATGATGAATGGAAGGGGAGAGGGAGTGGGAAAAGGGAGGGTTGCGGGTGGGAGGGACGTTATGGGGGGGAAGCCATTGTAATCCATAAGCTGTACTTTGGAAATTTATATTCACTAAATAAAAGTTAAAAAAAAAAAGAATGTATGATACAAATGATAGTAGAAAATTTTTCTTCCAGGTGGTTTAGAATCTTTGAAAAATCTTCAGCAACTATTCGTGGACCATAATCAGTTAATTAGTACAAAAGGTCTTTGTGACACACCTACCATTATACACCTGGATTGCTCATATAATCATCTGACTGATGTTGAAGGCATTGATAATTGTGGGCTGCTCCAAATATTGAAGTTACAGGGGAATTATCTAAGTGAGGTAATTTCTTTGAATTAATTGATTTGTCATTAATACACTTTCTTTCTGATAGAAATATCGACTATTCATTTTTAAAGCAATTTTGACTATTTTTTGTTTTCTTATCAGATGCATTTGCTTTTCAATTTGCTTTTAAATCTTCCATACATTTTTCTGTTTCATAAGTGATCAACAGTTATAATATTTTATAAATAAATAAAATGTCAGTTTTCATAGTACTAAAATATAATATCTAATACATTTTCAGTTATTTTAGTGTGTGTGGGAACAAATTTATCCCTTATAAAATTCTAATTATTTTGTCATAAAATTCCTTTAATAAAGAATATTAAAATTATGAAATTAATGAACAGAAATTGTATTTACATTAAAAGTCTCCTTTAGTGGCATTGATGATAAAGAACTTATCTGTAATTTTGATGGATTTTATATTTTTAAATTTACTTAAAAGACAAAGTATTTTGAATACTACAAACTAATGAGCCAAATTTAATTATAGCTTCCGTCCTTGGATAATCATGTTCTACTAAGGGAATTATACTTGGATGATAATAGCATTTCAGCTGTGGAAGCATTTTCTTCATATTGGCTGCCTTTATTACAAAATCTTACTATCTCTCAAAACAGGTAAATGCATACACTGTTTAAGCAACACATTCCGTGAAGGATTGCTTAAAATAAATATGTGATGTTTATATACAACTGGAAAAGCTGCGTTTCTCCAGCAATTCAATGGGAATGCATCAGACTAACTTAGGACATAAATTACAAAGATAACCTTAAACATTTTGAGATATTAGAGGGATGTTATGTCATAACCTAGAAGTTTAGCAGAATTTTAGTTATTGATTTATCTTCCTCATTTTGTTTCTTCTCAAAGATGTACTTGTAGAACTCAGGGTAGCTTTGTTTATAATTGTAAAGAATATAGTTCCCCGGAAAATACAGGAGGTAGTTAATCTAATTCAGAAGGATGTCTCATTCGTTCAAATGGTACCTATTAAGTCTTAGGGAAAATAAAAAAAAGATTTTTAACCTGCTCTCAACTTGCATATCTTTTGTAACTGTTAAGATAGATTTAAATTTGATTTCCCTAGGGATATAAAGTAACACTTGAAAAAAAATACCTTAACATTAAACTGAAATGTGTACCTGTCCCACAAAATCCATTTGAGACCACCAAACATCTGGATCCTTGCAAAGAATAACTGTCTAAAACCAAAACAGGAGCAGAATACATGTAACTCCCCCTCTGCTTACTATTTAATTGAGAACTGTTTACTCTAATAAGATTAATTTGTTCATCAAAGGCACATGGAGTGGAATAAGAGGAACCACCTTTAACAAGAAATCGCTTCTTTGGGTTAGACTATGCTTACAAAACAAGTGAATAAAGACAGTCTAACGTGTATCTGTGTATCTCCATTATTTCCCAAAACATATGCAAAGTTATCTCTCAATCTCGGCCACAATAGTGCTTGCACTATGAGCATGTATGTTCTAGACTATTTGGCTTTCACATACGAAACTTTGATGATTGAAAACTGAATCTGTGTTAAAAAAAAAAATTCCCTTAAATTGTTTTAATCAGATCTAAGATATGAAAGTTCAACTGTGTTTATATTTGCTCCTTGAACTAGCTCCAACAGAAGCACTGTGTAAGAATTTGGCTATCTATACACACACTGGATTTTTTCAGAATATTTTCCAGGTAGCAAATATAATTTTAAAATGAAATATTTAGCTGTGTTTTGACCATACACAATAAACCACTCAGGAATTGATATACATAGCACATTTTACAGAACTGATCTCAAACCGTATTAATAAGCTTTAAAAATACTTAAAGAGATCAAAAATATTTAAATCATGAATGTATTATGAAAATAGTAACTTTAATTTATTTGGGCAATTTAAATAAAGAAATATTCTATGCCTAAAATTTAAATAATACTATCTGATAGACTTTAATGCTATCAATCTGATATAATCCAATATCAACCTAGCGGATATTATATAAATTAGTGTACTAATTTTTTATAATTGAAAAAGATGATTGATATAATTATTGCAAATGATCCCTATTTTAATTTTGTTTGACTAGCCTTATAACATTGGAATATTGGCCTGGGATTTGATATTTTGAGATATTAAAAAACACATGCTATATATCCTTCAAAAATATTTAGGGATAAAAGAACTCAATATTTTATCTGTACAAAAAGTATAATTATTATTTAATATGCACAACACTTGCTTATATTTGACAGTTTTGGTGGGGGGTCTCTCAAAGTTCTTTACACAGGTAACGGTCTGCTGTTTCTGAGAGGATGAAGGGAGAAGGCCTAAGGGCATCAGGGAAAAGTGATGAAAATTGACATAGAATAGTAAAATTTTTCCTTTGTAACATAGTTTAAAAATGATCACCAATCTAAAGATTTTTTTTTAACACAAGCTAAATACCCTTAACTATGGAACTTAACCATCTTAACATTATGCTTTTATATGTGCATTGACTCCTAAAGAATCATATCAAGTTTGATAAAACAGAGTCAGCCCATCTGGGATTGAAGTTTTAATCTATGGCTTATCAGTAAATTGATGTTGAACAACTCTCTCCTCAGTATTTAAGCCTCGTTCCCCCCACTCACCGCCCACGTATAAAAATGTAATGATGCCTACTTTATCCATTCCTTGGACTTTAATGATGATACAAACAAAATGTAGGTGAAGTCATTTTGCTATTTTGAGAAACATTTTAAAAATATGATACTTGGTTTTGTAGTTGGCCTAGCCTTTAAATTGCATATATTTTCCCTTAATTTTTGATAAATATTTTCATCACAAGGAAGGAATTATGTATCCATATGTTTTTTTTTTCCTAACAAATGGAATACATATAAAGAATGGTACTTAGTACATATTGTTTGAAATATTTGTTTCATCCAGACTTCTGTTTTAAATTTTCATTAGGACATGTGACTGTTTTAAGTTTGACTCAGTGGAGCCCTGACTGGAAGACTCCCTGGCTTCATATAACTTTCTACTTCCATGAGACTCTAAATAGGAGCAGAAAATGGAAACTATTACCCATTGGCTGCTCATTGTACAAATCTTTTGCTTTTTGTCATCTTTGAAATTTATATCTTTTTAATGCCCAGGGCTAATGTGACAAGGTCAAATGGTATTAGGTTTTCACTAATGTCCTTTGTCTTTCTGGTTTGAATTTTCTTGGAAAAAAATATACACAGAATGTCAGTAAAAGGAAAAGTTCTAGAGGTTTAAATAAAGGATTCCACTATTAGGTTTCCACCATCCTAATGAATAGTCATAAAGGTGAATGGATAGCCTGTTTTCTTGATTAAAATTTCAAAAGAGAAAAGGGGCATTATTTTAAATCATGGTTAGCCAAAAAGACAAAATCCAATAATATTACAAAAATATTTGGTCAAAGCATTAATTTCTTGGATTTTTTTTTTGCAAAGAGAATTTTTGTTGATATTTAACGCTAAAACTATTGATGATTTTCATTTGATGTCTCACATAACCTGTGTGTCACTAAATCACTTACTGATTTAAAAATGAAGTACTTGAAAAGAGACAAAAATATATCCTGAAAGTCTTAATGTATCATTAGCTATGAATATTTCAAAATCCCTTAAGTAGAAGGATGAAGACTTAGTAGAAACATAGTATATGCAAGTAAGAATTTTCTTGTTAATGAATACACTTAGATTTTTGCTTAAAATTTTAAATCTAGAATTAGCAAATATCATAGATTTAAATTCACTAATTATGTACCAACAGATTTTCAGTTTTTCCCTTTCTCCTCTCATCTCTCCTTTACTTCCTACAGCTCCACTTTGTCTCTCCATCTTCCTTTACTTCCTGTTCCTTCCTTCCTCAAGTAAATTTAACCTTTATGTAAAAATAGTGAAGTGTAGGTATAAATATAATAATGGCCATTATTTTCTCAGTGTTTCTTTTATTAAATTGGATTTTTCCTTTAGAAATTATTTTCATGGGGCAGTATTATATAGGTTTGATATGAATAGTAATTTTGTACCTAGGATTGGCAACATTTAGCAAGATCTCCTTCCAGCCTTGATATTTAGGCTATTTTTTTTTTCCTTCATCAGGGGTATCTTCTTTCTCTCTGCTAATGCAGAACAGAATAATACAAGAGAGGAGTCAAGGTCAATTTCAAGGGTTAGTCTAATGCCAGATCCGTGAGGCTTCCAGTCATAGTGTTACTCTGTGAGCTTCTGACCTTGGAATAACAGGGCGTTTTGTTTTGTTTTGTTTTAACCATGGCAGGGGAATTGTAGAAATACAGAGATGAAAAACTGTGACAGGACAACTGGAGGACAGTATTAGAAATAGGAAAGCAAAAGAAATACAAATTTATACATTCTTTTAAAAATTTTTTTGCCAGAGATACAACTTTGGATTAAGTATATTTTGAAGAGTTGTGTGATTTCAACATTTATTGGAAGGGATGATTCACTATATTTTTTAAATTATAAAGAAAATATATTTTATGCAAAAAGGCTTTGCTTTGTGTAAGATTCAGATATGCTGACTTAACTTTAATCTCTAAATAACTACAGTGATTGATTATGTTACAGAGTAAGCCTGGCCTTCTCTTGGCTAGATATGCAAAGAAACTAAAGTTAATTTTCCTTTCTTAACTTCATAACTTTTGTTTCCAGTGATATACATATTTTTCAAATGATTTATGTGTCTTGCTTGAATTTATGTTTTAGAAATGTTAACTTACAGTTACATAAATTATAACAATTATTACTTAAAATTAGTTTTAAAAAGTTTTAAGCAGTATTTATTATTAGAATATTAACATGCATAATTAATAACATTGTTTTAAATATCCATTATGTCTGCCAATTTTAAGCCTATTCTGTTTGTAAAATATTTTATAACATTTTCTTGGTTTCATGTCTTGTACGTTGAACATATCTCCAATTTGCAATTAAGCCCACTGTAACTTTGAATATTTACATCACTTAGATTGGTTTTAGTGTACTGCAATCTAATAAACATGCATTTTTAAAACTGAAAAACAAAGCCAAAGATTCTAATCAGTAATGGTGTTGAAAAGTCAAAATAAGCTTTTTCTTCATGTTTGTGCCCTAAAGATTTAAGTAATGTATTTAAGACAGGGAGAAAAATAGATAATATAAATTTTCTGTAAATTTGGCCTCAATAAGAAACAAAATAATAACAAGAAGTCACTTATTGTTATTTAAATGATAAATACATAAAGTCTATTTGTGATTGAATTTCACAATTCTGTAGTAATTTCTCTTTTAAAATAAATAGAAATTTTATGTTATAAATTCTTAGTTTTATAATTGTTGGTTATCTAGTAAATATTTAATAAATTATAATTGTATATATAATTATATAAACTATGGAATTATACATTTGTATTGCTGTATAGTTACATTGATAATAGTAACAACAATCCAATTTAAAATTTTTATGAATTCTGTATTTTTGTTTTCAGTTTGACAAAAATTGTACCACTTTTTCATTTTGTTTCCTTGGAAAAGCTAGACTTCAGCAACAATTGTCTTTCTGGTAAGTTTACAGCAGTGTACAATATGTTAAACAATAGGCTTTGGAGTTTCTGTTCCAAATATGATAAGGAGTTACTTTGAATATATATGTGTTAATGGCATTTATAAAAAAAAAATCTGTATGACATACATGCTGATATTATTCAGTTAAACTATCCTTTCCACTTTTAAAATCATAGCACTTCCAAATCTTGATTTTTAGGCCTAGACAAATGTCCCAATTATATATTTATTTAAAAGTCATATGTATATCTCCCAGGAAATGAATAGAATAATGAAAGTAAGTAAACAAACATGTCTAACTTCATTCCTAGGAGGTATACAAGAGTCATGAACTGAATTATTGCATCTGCCCCCCATACACATCCATTCCTAATCTAGATACAACTAGTCTGACTTTGTCATTATAGGTTAATTTTGTCTTTATGTTTATGGAATCAACCATCCTGTTGTTTGTCTTCAGCTTTCCTTGCTCTGTATTCATATGACATTCCACTATATTGTTTTTATCAGTATTTATTCTTTCTTGTAATTGTTGAAATATATTAATATATCACAGTTTGTTTTTCCATTCACCCCAATGATCAGGATTTAGATTGTTTAAGATTTGAGGCTACTGTGAATATAACTTTGTTTTAAAAATTCTTGTACATTTTTTTTTTTGTGGACTTCTCTTGGTCAAGTGTTTAAGATAAAATAGTTGTGTGTGTGTGTGTGTGTTTAACTTTAAAAGAAACTAAAAAAAAAAAAAAAATTTTCCAAAGTTGTTGTAGTATTTTACAGCCCTGTCAGTAATGTGTGAAATTTCCAAATGCTCCATTCTGGAGTATTTAGTGTTTTGTTGTAGTAACTCACTGTGGTTTTAATTGACATTTTGCTGATAAAGTCATTTAGCTTTGTCCACATGTTCTTTGGTGGTTTCTGTATCTTATTGTGTCTGTCTATTCAAGTGTCCCATAATTTTAAAGTATTGGTTATTTGCCTCTTATTGATTTATAGATATTCTTTATATATTCTGGAAAAAAAATCTTTGTCAGATATATGCCACGTAAATACTTTCTCCCAACTCTGTTTTACCTATTGATTTTATGAATTGTATATTTACATGAGCAGATGTTTTTAGTTTTGATGAAGTATTTCTTACATAGTTATTTTTATAGTTATTTTTCTCTATGTCTTTTGTAATAAATATTTTCCACCCACAGATGGGAAAGATAATTTCCTATGCTTTCTTTTAGAAGTTTTGTTCTTTTAATTTTTCCAATAAAGTCTGATTCATCTTAAATTAATTTTTACATATTATGTGAAGTAAATATTGAGTTCATTTTATATGAATATGCAGTTGTTCTAGCAACACTTGTTAAATAAGCTTTTTTCATCACTGGGTTGCTTTGGCATCCATCTTGTAAAATGTTGTTTTATGTTTGGTTCACTTTGGGATGTGCTTCTTTTAACTGCTTCCCTCTTTATAATGCTTCATATATTCCTGTTTATTTAAGTATAGAATAAATTTAACTGTATGTGGTCCATTGTAGAGAATATTCTTTACTGATTCTGTACGTTGTCTTCATTTAAAATATGTTATATTCTGGTAGGAGTTAATTTATGGTTTTGTTTCTATCAGTCGTCATTGCATTCTGTCTTTTAGCATGTCATTTTAGTTTGCAAGTTTAGTGCATTTCTCTACTGCAGGGAGTGGTGTCCATGCCTAATGCATAGTATTTCTGGGTACTATCTGAATCACTGAGATGCTCATTTAGGTCTGGTGCATGGGAGGCTGCAACTCCAATGCCTATCATTGCTGCATGAACTTAAGCATTAACTTGGGACTCTTATCCCTACTGCAAGTGGTCTCTGCAAGGTTTTGCAATCTTGTTCAATGTGTGTGACAAGTAGCACTTTTCCAAGGATATATGATCAGTCTTCATACAGGTTTCACAATGGTCTCTCTCCAACATACACATACAGCTTTTTAAAGTACTTTTCACCACAAATCCTAGCTTCGGTTTTACCTCCTTTAGTTTTACCCTCTCAGCTCAGCAAAGTAGACTCTGAGGCTCTTTTTTATGGCTTGGAAATAGTAACATGCCTCCAGGTAGAAAACTACTGCGATTGTGGAGTGATTGCATGTTCACCTCGAATACTTCACATCCTTTAGTGTCAGACTTAAAAATAGGTGCTTTATCTATATATTGACTTGTTTGATGATTGTTTTCTGTAGAAAAGTACTTCATTGTAAATTGTTGCATACTGTACTCTAGATTTATTTATTTGCTGATTTTACTTTTGAAAGTATAATAGTGTCATGTAGTTCTTTTAAAAGGTATATGTTCAACTTTATCGTCTATCCTATTATCTTAGATTTTACTTCTTCAGATTCTATACTTAAAATCTGGTATAAACTGTCCTGAATCCTTTATGCACATTATTTAATCCTATGATCTTCAGTTGTATAGCAGAGTGAGTTCACACAACTACAAGATTGTAGAAACACATAAGAGTAGCTTGTGTTCTCAAAACCATCTCCTTTAAAATTCATATGATATTCTGTAAGCAAAATAAAAATATTTTCCTTTAAAATCTTACAAAAAATAAAATATTCCTTGATTTATGATTTTTACTTGTGATACCTTCTGTAAAATGATTCTGTTTATATTCTATAGATCTTACAAGTCTCATAAAATGTTTTGAAGCATGCTGTTCTCTCCGTGAATTATCTGTCACTGGAAACCCACTTCTTCAAGAAATAAACTGGAGGTAAAGCAGCACTGTTGTATAATAAGCTTTATTATAGTTGCATAAAACACAATTTGGTGGAGATTATAAAGATTAAATACTGAGGAAGAATTAATTTAAAATTTCAAAAATTATTTTTTTTAATTTGGTGAAGATAGTGTTAAAAACTCTTCAACCTAAAATAAATTCTTGCATGTATGTGAGTTAGCATAAATTTAAAATTATAATTGTGATCCAAATCATTAACTATGTGACATGTTTAGAATGATATTAACATGGTTTTGAAATTTATAGAAGATATGTGTTGAGAAATCTTTCTTCAATATTGTCTGAATCACATAGCATGCTACTTTAATTATTTTATTTCTGATAGTAATTTAATTTTGTTTCATTTTCGTGAGAGTGAATGTTAGTATCTATTTAAAAGTATGTATGATAAGCATGTGTGAACTCATTTCTGTCTTTAGAATACTAAAGTACTTAGATATAAGCCAAGAACATTTTTCTGTAATTTTTTTTAAGTTTTTTTTTCTTAGAAAAAAGCTTCTTTAATTTAAAATTCTAGGGTGAGGATGATTGGCAATAATGTGTTGTATATTTCAAACTAGCTGTGATATAGAATTTTGAATGCTTACCACATAAGAAATTACATATTTTCGATGTGATGAATATTCTAAATTACCCTGATTTGATCATTACATATTATATACAAATATAAAAATGTGACACAGTCCTTATAAATATGTATTATTATTATGTATTAATTAAAAATAAAGATACTCAGGCTGGCGCCATGGCTCAATAGGCTAATCCTCCGCCTGCGGCGCCGGCACACTGGGTTCTAGTCCCGGTCAGGGCACCTGATTATGTCCCGGTTGCCCCTCTTCCAGTCCAGCTCTCTGCTGTGGCCTGGGAAGGCAGTGGAGGATGGCCCAAGTCCTTGGGCCCTGCACCCACATGGGAGACCAGGAGAGGCACCTGGCTCCTGGCTTCAGATCAGTGCGATGCGCCGGCTGCAGCGCACCAGCCACGGCGGCCATTGGAGGGTGAACCAACGGCAAAGGAAGACCTTTCTCTCTGTCACTCTCCCTCACTGTCCACCCTGCCTGTCAAAAAAAAAAAAAAAAGATTTAAAAAAACATAAAGATACTCTCATAGTATACTAACAATATTTAACCCCCTGATTCACCAGTGTTTTATTTTATTACTAGCTATTTTACAATACATTAGATATAATTAATTCAATCCTTTTTATTTCAGTAATCTGATCACTGTATACTTTGATATAGTCTCATAGGTTTACTCAGCTTTGCTTTTATTGAAGCACTTAGCTCTATACATTATTAGTGTTCACAAAATTAGGGAAAAAATTTAACCTTTTTTTCAGATAATTTTTTTACCTCTTTGTCCCCTATTCTATCATACTAGGTCAGAAATTTCAATATTAGACCCCTAGATATTATCCTAGGAGCTGCTTTTTTTATTTTTTTTTTATTTTTTTTGACAGGCAGAGTGGACAGTGAGAAAGAGAGACAGAGAGAAAGGTCTTCCTTTGCCGTTGGTTCACCCTCCAATGGCCGCTGCGGCCGGCGCACTGCGCTGATCTGAAGCCAGGAGTCAGGTGCTTCTCCTGGTCTCCCATGGGGTGCAGGGCCCAAGCACTTGGGCCATCCTCCTCTGCACTCCTGGGCCACAGCAGAGAGCTGGCCTGGAAGAGGGGCAACCAGGACAGAATCCGGTGCCCCCACCAGGACTAGAAGCCTGTGTGCCGACGCCATAGGTGGAGGATTAGCCTAGTGAGCCGCGGTGCCAGCCGCTTTTGTTCTGTTCCTTTATTTGTGTTTTTTTCTCTTTCTGTACTTCACTCAATAGTTTCTGTTGGTGTGTCTGCAAGCCTGGCCAATTTGTTCAGGCAGTGACCATGCATTTATGAACAAAGCATAGACAGGGAGGAATAGTAATTGAAAAACAGTGTCTGTGTGACACCTGATCCTGGGGCGGAAGCAGGTGACCCTTTACCCTGATTTGGTGTCTGCAATATATAGTGATGTTCAGGAAGAACATGGTTCTGCTGACATGCACGGAGTATAATACATCTTACAGAAGAATTAAGTCTGATTGTGTCTAGAACTCCTACGTCTGACTTAATCTGCCTATAGAACAAGCTAAGACAGTTTAGGAAATGGTCTGTCCCATTTTGTCAGAGGCCTCTACGACCTCTGACACTGTATTTCCAGGTGTATTGATTTCCCAGGCTTTTTAGTTGGACTTTGGTGAAGAAGATAGCATTTTGCACCAAGTCAAACACAACCATAATTTACTACTCATCGATAATTTGTGTATCACAGAAGTTGTGTATGTTTCCTCAGAAAGTCTGTTTTTTCTTCTTTTGCAAAGCTCAGTTTCCACATACATTTCTAATGTTCACTCTGTTCTCTAGGAAAACATAGTGGGATTCCACATATTGCAGAACAAAACATGTCAACTTCTGGTTTATAAATGCCTTGTCTGGTGTACTTTATTGTGTAGCATAGAGGAGAGAATATAACCCATTACAGCAGTTCAGAAATATCTTCGTTGTCAACTGGAAACCTGTCTTGAGTACAAAATTTAAACAAATGTAGACCTACTAAACCAGAACCTTGAGATGATTCTCAGTGGTTTGTGTTCTTAACAAGTCATTTATATGATTCTGTTGCACATTAAGTTTAGAAATCATTGTCTTTTTAAACAAAGACATTCTGCTCCTGACTCTATACTGTATGCTGCTGGCCAAGTGACTTAACTTTCTTAAGTCTCCAAATCCTCAGTGGTAAAAAAAAAAATTATAATCTCATGGAGTGGTTATGGAAATTTGAATGGTATGATATGCATAATTTGTTTAGAACAATTCCTAGAATATGATAAGCACACAAAAATACATCATCTTCCTGTAGTAGCCTATCCTGTATTAGTCTGATTTTGTTAATTTATCTAAAATACCTGAGGAACTTTTTTGGGAAAGAAATGGTTTCTTATAGTTTGCAGTTAGAGGCTACAGGATCACACGGCTGCGTAGTCTGGAGTCTAATGGAGGCTGCTCATGGTGGTTGTGGAAGCTCAGTCACTTGGTGAGCCAGGTAGAAGAGAAAGAAAACCTAGACTGAACTTGAACTCAAAATAATTAACAGTCCCATGAGAGCCACCTTTCAGGGGCATGCTCCCAGTGACCCCAAGACCTCCCATGGGTCATACCTCCTACCCACCACAATTAGATGAAATCTCCATCCTAATCCATCAACCATTAACACATCAGAGTTTAAATAGCTACATGAATTTGGGTGAGACAAATCCCCTTGTACCCATAAAACTTCATTACCTAGCTAACCAGATAAAATATATGAGTTCTTATTCAATCACTGCCCAACACTCATTTAATCCTCTCAGTATCCCCAATGGGATATGTATGTAATTTAGTATAACTATTTATAATCCAGAAAACTGAGAAACAAACAAAGCTTGATAATTTCCCCCAAGATCATATAACTAACTAACAAGTAGAAGGGCTGGAAAACAAACACAGTTTGACTCCAGAGATTGTGCTCTTACATGTTTTATTATGATGATCATTATTAGAGTCAACAGACAGAAATGCTTCAGAAATGTGGAGAAATGTTGTCCATTTGGTTTAACCTGAAGAAATCGCCTTGTCTAAAGGGATAAACTTTGAGTTAACACCTCAAAAGGTGGTTAAAATTTGAAATCAAACTAAATTAAAAGTCCTTCTGGTGAAAGAAATATCCATATAAAGGAGAAAACATCAAAGATGTAGTCAGGCTGTGATGGGTTGCTCAGCTTTGGCCTAGTGCATCCCTGCCTTTTGTGGCCACTTGAAGGATAAATCAAGGAATGGGATCCCTCCCTCCCTCTCTTTCTCTCTCTCTCTCAGGGATGAATCAAGGAATGGGATCCTTCTCTCTCTCTCTTTCTCTCTCTCTCTGGGAAATGATTGTCGATTGTAGCCCTTGTTTCACTCCTGTGGAACTTTGTCTTCCTACTTTTTACTTATTGAATACTATGATTAGTGCCAGTTAAGCCTGTGAATATAGAGTGGATTAAAATTATGTTTTTGCAAAAACAGATTAAGAGAAGAGATGGAGGGAGAAATATTGACAGGAGAGCAGGGGAGTGAGGGAAGTATGGTTGTCTTCTTGGAACTTTTCCTATGGAATACATAAGATTTGTTCTCTTTATATTAATTTAAATTTTTAAAAAAATTGAAATAGACCTAACCGGAGGTACTTAGGACACTGAAGGCATGCTCTAGGAAGGTGTTTCCCCCAAAAGGCTATTATAAAATCTTGGTATGAGGCCAGCTACTTTGTTTGATTCCTGGCTCACCATGTGATCTCTCCTTAGCACGTGCTCTACCACTCTTATCATAAGCCAAACAAATGGGACTATCTGATCTTAGACTTAAACCTTCAAAACTGACCCAAGTAGCTCATCTCAGGCATTTTGTTACAGTAATGAAAAGCTAATAAAGCAGCTGATATTATTTTTAATTAAAACATTGGATAGGTTCTTTTAGGTAAATCCTTTATTTTCTTTAGTAACTATGTGGACAAAATATGTGATAGCAAGTGAAAAATCTATAGTTTTCCTCATTATTTAATGTCTTCTGGGACCATGATTTTTCTCTTGGTACTGAACTGTCGGCAACAGAACTTTAATTCTCTTGATGATCCTATGTTCCTTCCCATCCAAACAGCTAGTATATGATTAGGTACAACATAGCTAATATCTGTAAACCATATTTTTGAAACAACTGTTTAATAACATAATGGAAGAAAATAAATAATATTTGTATTATAAATATGTATAAGTATTTGGCTTGTATAATTTATGTTTAAATAAACTTTTCTGGGCTAGAATAATCCAATCTGAAAATTTTACCAATTTCACTTAGATCAGTTGGCCTAGTATAGCTTTAATTATTCAAAGAAGTGATTCATTTATCTAAAGGATTTAAAATGCAAAAA